GGAAGGATGGAAGGCTGAGTCAACCTTGAGCCGGTGAGATTTGAACAGCCGAACTGCCGAACTGCAGAACTGCAGTCAGCTGAAGTAGCCTGCACTATTGCACTCTAACCACTGCGCCACCTCGGCCTATATCATTGTGAATAAAATGCAATCTAGGATTAGATTTAATTAGTTTAAGTTTAATTAGTTTAATTTAGTTTAATTAGTTTATCATGTAGCTTTACTTGTTCAATAACTAACTTTAATTTTGCCTTGAATTTATGATAACTGAATGCAGTCAGTTGAATATTAACTGACACTGGAGATATACTTCTTCCAGACAGCCTTGAGTTGGAGAAGAAGATTATTCCCCTAATTCTTAGAAAATGACTTTGCTTGTTCCCAAGGGCTGGGCCAGCACATTTGCTGACTGATCAAAGCTATATCCTCAATTCTTGGTATGGGAATAGAGTAAATTGTTGGTTGAGTTTTATTAGTGGCAACTGGGGAGTCCCCTCCATTTCCCAAAAGGCTAATTTAGAAAACTCACGACGAGCTGTGCCATACATCTAGCGTCAACATTTTGCTGGTAATTCCTATTTTCTGCTTTGCTCCTGGGAAGCCATGGTCAGATTGGTGCTGCTCATTCTCAAAGCAAAAAAAAAAATTCACCTGTGCCTAAAGCTCATGGCTGATGGAGAGAGAAAGGAAGAGAAAGAGAAAGAGAAAGAGAAAAGCTGTTGTTCCCATTCAAAATTAAATTAAACACTCAGCCTGAACCTGATTAGCAGGAGCTTCAGCTAAGATGGGATTGGATCCAGCATTGGATAGCATCAACCTGAGATGCTAAATGATGAGTATCTGAAGGGGCCTTTGCCCCACCATGGCATAAGAGCTCCGAGGCTTCTCGGAGGCCCCATTTCTTTGCAGTTTTCCCATATAAAGGCTGAAAATGTGCAGCCCTTGGCTTAAGGCAAACATGTTTATAAAAGTACTGTGGAACCCGCCCCCCCTCCCCCCCCCCCCCCCTCCTTCATTCCAGCCCTCTCACAGCCTCTCTG